GATAGGCACGGCACGAGCGCACTCGCCGCTGCCAACCACCGAGGAGGCACGCTGGGCCCGGTCAGCGGCACAAATGTGAAAGTTGAATCGGGTCACTCTTGTCACGCCAACTAAAAACAGAGTTGAGAAGCTAGGGGAAACATCAGGAAACATAAGGTTGCTCAAAAAATGTATTCTCACAAGCCCAGTTGCTGAAACTCCTGCTGTAACCTGAAACCAGTCTTACCTAACAGTGCTGAAACAACCCTCCGCAACCTCTAGCACTAACTGTGCCCGTGCCATCGCTTCACCGACCAAAGTTCATTCTGGCCACTTAGGCTTTATAAAAAGATAAATATGAGGTCTACTATCAATATATAAATGCAAGATAAATCAATTTTACAGTAAAAATCTTTTTTTTTTTGAGACAGAGTCTACCTCTGTTGCCCAGGCTAGAGTGAGTGCCGTGGCGTCAGCCTAGCTCACAGCAACCTCAACTCCTGGGCTCAAGCGATCTTCTGCCTCAGCCTCCTGAGTAGTGGACTACAGGATGCACCACAGTCGGCTATTTTTTTTCTATATATTAGTTGGCCAATTAATTCTTTCTATTTATAGTAGAGACGGGTTCGCTCTTGCTCAGGCTGGTTTTCGACTTCTGACTCGAGAATCCGCCCACCTCAGCCTCCCAGAGTGCTAGGGCTACAGGCGTGAGCCACGCGCCGCCACAGTAAAAAATCTCATACAGTATTTTTTTGTCATAAAAAATTTTTGGTTGTTTCCAAATTAGAAGTTATCAGACTAAGACTGGGGATTTAGGAGAACACAGAAGGCTGAGCAGGAAGGTCTATGAACGGTGAGCCCTGAAGCAGCTTCGTGTGTGGTCAGGTTGGCGGGCTGGAAGGAAACTGTGTTTAAAGGCCTCTCTACACACAAGGTTTTCTTAAAGTAGTGACATGTTCTTAATAAAACTGCAAGAGGTTTTTCTTTTAATTACAATCTGTTTAATAGCCATCTTCTTCTGAGATCTATTTACTTTCCCCAGTTTCAGCTTTAAAATGGTAATTTCATTTCTTGAGCAGATTTTGCTTTCGAAGCGTCTCCTTCACCATCCTCAGAAGTTCAGCTGTTGCTGTTCCGCCAGTGCAGGTACGCGTCATGCCTTCGGTTTTCACCCTTGAGAAGGGGGAGGTAGCCGCCTGGGATGTAGCGCCTTGGCGTTCTCATCGGCTCTGGCAACTTTCTGAAATATTCACTTTGGAGGCCTAAAAAGTCATGTTTTTCTTCAGCTGATTGTCTGTGCTCTTGGCTTTTCCCGACGTGCAGAATTGCCTCACGTAACAGGATGCTTCCCTGCTGTCACTGAGTCACCCTACTCCCTTGCCAAGACACCAGTTAGTTCTCTTGTTTACATTCTTTCCTGTGTTGCTTTAATTAGCTTCTAATTATTCAGGAAACTAAGCTTTAAAAGGTTAAAGTTTTTACATCCGTGTAACTTTCCGTATTGTTTTTAAAAAAATAATTTATAGAGACAGGGTTCGGTCTCACCTTTCCAGGCTGGTCTCTAACTCCTGACCTCAACAGTCATCCGCCTCGCCTCCCAGAGTGCTGGGATTACAGCATGGCTCCGTGCCAGTATCTGTATGGCTTCTGAAGCCCGTTGATAATCACTCTGGTTATTTTAATTTAAAAAAAAATTAATTTTTTGTAGTGGGGTGGGTGTCATGGGGAGGGGTGTGTAGTTGCCTTGTTTGTTTGTTTTTGTTGAGACAGGGTCTCCCTGTGTCACCCTTGGTAGAGTGCATGCCGTCACTGTAGTTCACTGCAACTCCAATTCCTGGAGTCCAGCAATCCTCCCGCCTCAGCCTCCCAGGTAGCTGTTGCAATGCCCGACTGGGTTTTTTTCCTTTTCCTTTGGTAGAGATGGGGTCTTGCTCTTGCTCAGGCTGGTTCTAAACT